AATGTGTACATGATATTAAGACATGGATGTCTAATAATTTCCTGCAGTTAAATGAGGATAAAACTGAGGTTTTAATATTAGGTTGTCCTGCACACTCGTCTCCTGCTTTGGAAGCTCAGTTAGGTCCACTTTCAACTAATGTACGCAAACAAATCAAAAACCTTGGAATGATTTTTGACTCCTCTCTATTTTTTGATAAACAAATTAGTGCTGTTATTAGAGCAGGTTTTTTCTATTTGAGATCTATTGCAAAGTTGAAGCGTCTTCTTTCAAGGAAGGATATGGAAGTTGTGATTCATGCACTTGTTACATTTCGATTGAATTATTGTAACTCTCTTTATTCTGGTCTTCCTCAATCTTCAGTGTCACGATTGCAAGCTGTTCAAAATGCTGCGGCAAGACTTTTGACTGGGTCAAAAAAGAGGGATCACATTTCTCCTGCTTTATCATCCCTTCATTGGCTTCCCGTTAAATTCAGGGTTGATTTTAAAATTCTTCTGTTTGTTTATAAGGCATTGTCTGGTTGTGCACCAAGTTATATTGCTGAACTTCTTGTGCCATATTGTCCTGCTAGGGCACTTAGATCTTTGAGTCACTTGCTTCTAACTGTACCACAGTGTCGGCACAAATCAAAGGGTGATTGGGCTTTTTCTGTGGTTGGCCCCAAGCTTTGGAATGGTCTCCCCTATCATGTGAGATCTGCTCCTTCTTTGGACATTTTTAAGTCTAGACATAAATCTTATTTTTACTCTTTAGCCTTTGTATGTGTGTAGTTGTTGTTTTTATTAGTAGATTTGTTTGATCACTGTACAGCACTTTGGATCAATTTACATTGTGTTTAAATGTGCTTTATAAATAAATGTTGTTGTTGTTGTTTAATACACACACATATATTATGTACACAAAAACTTTTATTTTGGATGCGATTAATCGTTTGACAGCACTACTTAAAATAGAAAACAGTTCTTTTTAGTTGTAATAATATTTCACAATATTACAGTTTTGACTGTATATTTGAGCAAAAAAAATGCAGCCTTGGTGAGCATAAGAGGCTTCTTTCAAAAACATTTTTAAAAAGCCTACCGACTTCAGATTTTTTGCGGTAGAGAAATTGTATTAAATGAAATGGATAACCGTTTTTTAGGGCTCAGTGGGTGAAACTGGACCAGTCGAACCAGCAGGAAGCAAAGGCTTGTCTGTGAGTACAAATCCTCTGATGCTGTATGTTTGCCATCTCCATTTCATACATGTACGTTGTGTTATGGTGTTTTATGTAAATGATACACAGGACAGAACTGTCGGTTGTAGGGTGAGAAGGGTAATGAAGGATCTTTTGGTGATCGTGGCCCAAAGGGAATCCAAGGAGAGAGTGGAAATCGAGGACCACCTGCAGTCAAAGGACAAAAAGGACGAGAAGTGAGAATACTAATCTGATATACTAATCTGATTTTTGATTATTTCTTAGGTACAAAATACCAAAAAGATGTTGTGTGTTTGTTTTTTGTCAGGGGTTGAGAGGTGCTCCAGGGCAGAAGGGAGATCTTGGATCCCCTGGTGAAAAAGTGAGTTTTTTTGATGAAGTTTGCACAGGTGTTTGAGTGAAATAGTCAAATGCATTGAAATATTCTTATTGATGACATGTTTTCTGTGTGTTTTTGTTTTTACTCAGGGTCAGACAGGTGTGAGAGGTTACTCTGGGTTGGTAGGAAAGTATGATCCTGGAGGGAACATGGGAAAATCTGGTGAAAAAGGCGACAAAGGTCTAAGTGAACTTGTTGTGGGTACCACTTCCTCTTTTACAGCTAATGAAGCCTATGAAGAAATATATTTATTTTGTTTATTTCAATGTTCTATGGGTATCATAGGGCGAGGCAGGAACAAATGGGCCGCCAGGTCCAAATGGTGCTATTGGGTTACCGGTAAGTTAGGTTTGATTTTTGGATATACATTTGACATTAATTTATTCCATTCAAATTTAGGGTTTGCCAGGAAAAAAAGGATTTGTTGGACAAAGTGGAAAACTTGGACCAAAAGTATTTATATATATATATTTTTTTTAAACTGATGTCTAGTATGCTCTGTTACACCATCGTATGAGTAAGTGCATCTGTTGTTTTTGTCCCCTGCAGGGAGAACCTGGAGTTATAGGGAATCCAGGCAGCCCTGGGAAGATTGGATCAATGGTATGCATGCATTATTTAGAAAATGTTGTCTGGTCTTACTGACCTGAATTTGTTGAATTTTGCATTTTGTTGTTTACATGGTGTTTCAGGCCCAAATGGGAAGAAAGGAGAGCCTGGAACAAGAGGCAGAATGGTGAGATAACACTTTACAACCAGATTTGTTTCCAATCTAAAGAACAAAATATGAAGTATTTGCTATTAAAAAAAGGACAAAGGCATTTCACACTGGCATACATTATGCTCAAATGGACAGTGTTAACATATCTAAATGATCTACGCTCCTGTCTAGGGGCCAATGGGTCAGCCAGGAGCTGTGGGTCCTCACGGACTAAAGGGAAAACCAGGATCTTCAGGGCCTTCAGGGGAAAAAGGAGTCAAGGGTCAACCAGGGCCAAAAGTCAGTGGCTCAGTATTTTATAGACGTCTCATTTAATCTGGTCATTTAATGTCTTCACCAGTTGTTTTTGTGATTCTTTCACACAGAGGATGAGCGGTTCTCCTAGAAGGAGAGAAAGTAAAGGTGTTGCAGGAAAGCCAGTGGGTTCATGCATTTTTTTTGGCTTTTATTGTCTTGATAATCTGCAACTTTATTGGTATTATTTCATATTTCGCCTACACAAACAAATAAAAAGTTCATGCTTATGATGTATTATTCTCTAGGGACCTCAAGGACCAAAAGGGAAACATGGTAATCCTGGTCTACCTGGAAAGCCAGCAAGTATCCCAAATACAAATGTCTAAACCTTCTGACTATTTTATGATTGTGCCAAACATGATTGACTTTTACACTAACTCTATTTAAGGGACGTAGTGGTACAGATGGATTGCTGGGAGTTATAGGCACTGAAGGTGACCCAGTGAGTAGCTTCCTTTTATTTACATTTTATAGTAGTGCTTACCAATGCAAACACAACGCTAGTCTTACATGTTGCCTGTGTTGTTTGGACCTTTATGTCATTTCCTGTTTCCTGTGTGTTTTGTAGTCAGTTTGTAGTTTGGTTGTTTGTTGGTTCCTCATTGGTTAGTTCCCACAGGTGTGTCTTGTTATCTTGTTAAGCTTGTTACCCCTTGTTTATGTATACCCCTGTGTTTCCTCTGTTCATTGTCTGGTGTTGTTCTACATGGATGAATCGTGTGTTTGTTGTCAGTTCTGTTTTCCTTGCCCACGTTTGGATTGCTCTTGCCTGGATTTATGTTTATGTGTGCACCTAGGTCCTGCTTTCCCTCATTCTGAAGCAGCCACTTTACAGCTAGGGTGTTGTGGGTTATTATTATGCATTTATTAGGGTGTTCTGAATATTTGCTATGTAGTTACTAGGATGATCTGGGCCCTAATTGCTTTATGGTAAAAATGGCAGATTTAGCATGAAAATGAGCATTTACTACCTTACTGTACAACTTGCAGGGTGACATTGGTTTCCGAGGACCTCCGGGGAAACCAGGTCCTCCAGGTAGTGCTGGAAGTAAGTTTGTTTTATACAGACTATTTGAATAATTTATTACAAAGCATGTTGGTTTTATATTATGGTCATGACTTGTGGCATGGTTTCAAAAACAAATTCAAATGGTGCCCCAGGAACACCGGGTTTGCAAGGGAGTCAGGGACTACCTGGACCAAAGGTAATTTCCTCTCTGTCTCTTAAATAAATTGGTTCCTACTAGAGTCAATTTACCAGCCTTTTCATCACAGGGCGCTGGAGGACCCAAAGGGAAACCAGGACCCACTGGGCTGATAGGACCAAAGGTAATCAAATCAAAGTCATTGTTTTGCCTTCTACAATCCATAAGGATTTAAATTTTATAAAGTTATTGTTTTTTGTTAAAACTTAGGGGATTCTGGGTCTTCAAGGTGAAAAGGGAGATGTTGGACTAAAGGGACCAAAGGTATCAATGTATCCATTGACTATAGACAATTGTTTTAGCTTCTGACATATGAAATAATAGTAAGAAAAATCAGTTTTATTCAGAGGCCCAAACTAAGCAAAAATATGCAATTTGTTGCAGTAGCTGATATTTCTGTGGCCAAAAAGTTAGATGTAGGCTAATTGGAATTATACTATATTTATTACAAAGCATGTTGGTTTTATATTATGGTCATGACTTGTGGCATGGTTTCAAAAACAAATTCAAATGGTGCCCCAGGAACACCGGGTTTGCAAGGGAGTCAGGGACTACCTGGACCAAAGGTAATTTCCTCTCTGTCTCTTAAATAAATTGGTTCCTACTAGAGTCAATTTACCAGCCTTTTCATCACAGGGCGCTGGAGGACCCAAACTAGGCAAAAATATGCAATTTGTTGCAGTAGTTGATATTTCTGTGGCCAAAAAGTTAGATGTAGGCTAATTGGAATTATACTAAAAGTATGAACTGTCAATCAGATGACAGAAAGCACGTAGTAGATTGTGTACAGCAGGTTTTTCAGCAAAGTTTTGATCATATTGGTCACTTCAAGGCCTTGCTCATTGCTCATTAATGTAATTTACAGGGCCATGTTGGTATTAGAGGATTGCAAGGGCCCAGCGGACCACCAGGAGAAAAGGTAAGTTCAAATGAAACATAGAAAGCACATAAAAAAACAACCAGCTACTTTTTTTTCAGTAGTTAAGAATGTTTTATTTCATGTTGCAGGGAAAGCAAGGTGCTCCAGGGTTCAAGGGACGGCCTGGACCTCAAGGCATGCAGGTAAATAACTACCTGCTGTAATTTGGGGACAGCAAAGTTTTGATCATATTGGTCACTTCAAGGCCTTGCTCATTGCTCATTAATGTAATTTACAGGGCCATGTTGGTATTAGAGGATTGCAAGGGCCCAGTGGACCACCAGGAGAAAAGGTAAGTTCAAATGAAACATAGAAAGCACATCAAAAAACAACCAGTTGCTTTTTTTTCAGTAGTTAGGAATGTTTTATTTCATCTTGCAGGGAAAGCAAGGTGCTCCAGGGTTCAAGGGACGGCCTGGACCTCAAGGCATGCAGGTAAATAACTACCTGCTGTAATTTGGGGGCCTATTTACTGTGAACTTTTGATTCTTTATTCATATGTTATTTGTTGCAGGGTGAAGCTGGTGCTCGTGGGCCTCCTGGTGGCAAAGTATTCCCTGGTTTACCTGTATGTCTCTTTGTAAACTCATTGACCAGCTTTATCTGCTTTAGAACAATGGCATAGATGACACCGTTTCTTGTTTTGCTCTACAGTGTCCAACTGGAAGGAAGGTGTGTACTGAAATTGCAGGTGTGGTTGTAATTTATATAGCTCTGCTTATCTTGTCCCTGTACCTGAACCAGGTAGGTACAGCATAGATACAGATCTTATTAGAGTCAAACTGACCTGCAGTGCCCCGGCATGCAGTATTTAAACGGCAATGTTCAGTAGGGTGACACTGAAACATTGAAAATATGGGATTTGAAATATTTGACCTCAAGTATATTGAGCTTAATAGAGTTAAATGTGCTTTCTTAAGTATTGTTTATATCAACAGGGTATGAAAGGAGTTCAGGGAATATCAGGACAGAAAGGTGTGAAAGGTCGGAGAGGACTTTCTGTAAGTGGAATAGTTTTCCTGCATGTGACTTTAATTTCACACTTTAACTTATTTTATTCCTTTTGAAGAGATTGTGTCTTAATCTTATATTCTGGCTCACTCTCACCATCTCACAAGGTAAAACCAAGTATTCCCGTCCAGCAGATACCAGGGCATCATACTCCACCTCATGCTCCAAGAAGAGGATCACAAAATGTTGGTACAAACTCAAGCAGTCAACCTTGGTTTGTTGAGAACTGAAACACACTTTTTATTGTCAAATATAGAGGGAAAAGTGAGGTTGGGTAGCAGAAAGACCTAAGATGAAGGTTTTATTATTGATCATTTGTCTTTGCACATTCTTTTCAGAAAGCAAGGTTATTATCCAGAAAGTCTCGATTTGATGACACTGAGGAAGAGATTGAGGAAAATAGCCACTCGCAAGGCACCAAAGACAACCCAGCAACCACCTGCAGAGAACTCTGTCTCATCCAGCCTCACCTCAGAGATGGTGAGCAGACTTCAGACCCAAAAATCTTGTTTTTAAAAAAAATTTAATCATAGAGTGGACATTTAATTTACTGTTGTCCTGTTTATAGGGCACTACTATGTTGATCCAAACCACGGATGTCCATTTGATGCTCTCCATGTGTTCTGTAATTTTACTGCTTGTGGTCTAACCTGTGTGTCTCCTGTCCGGTCTAAAGTAAGAGGATTTCAATATTTAACTATTTAAATAGGATGTAAAAGTATGAACTGTCAATCAGATGACAGAAAGCACGTAGTAGATTGTGTACAGCAGGTTTTTCAGCAAAGTTTTGATCATATTGGTCACTTCAAGGCCTTGCTCATTGCTCATTAATGTAATTTACAGGGCCATGTTGGTATTAGAGGATTGCAAGGGCCCAGTGGACCACCAGGAGAAAAGGTAAGTTCAAATGAAACATAGAAAGCACATCAAAAAACAACCAGTTGCTTTTTTTTCAGTAGTTAGGAATGTTTTATTTCATCTTGCAGGGAAAGCAAGGTGCTCCAGGGTTCAAGGGACGGCCTGGACCTCAAGGCATGCAGGTAAATAACTACCTGCTGTAATTTGGGGGCCTATTTACTGTGAACTTTTGATTCTTTATTCATATGTTATTTGTTGCAGGGTGAAGCTGGTGCTCGTGGGCCTCCTGGTGGCAAAGTATTCCCTGGTTTACCTGTATGTCTCTTTGTAAACTCATTGACCAGCTTTATCTGCTTTAGAACAATGGCATAGATGACACCGTTTCTTGTTTTGCTCTACAGTGTCCAACTGGAAGGAAGGTGTGTACTGAAATTGCAGGTGTGGTTGTAATTTATATAGCTCTGCTTATCTTTGCCCTGTACCTGAACCAGGTAGGTACAGTATAGATACAGATCTTATTAGAGTCAAACTGACCTGCAGTGCCCCGGCATGCAGTATTTAAATGGCAATGTTCAGTAGGGTGACACTGAAACATTGAAAATATGGGATTTGAAATATGATTTGACCTCAAGTATATTGAGCTTAATAGAGTTAAATGTGCTTTCTTAAGTATTGTTTATATCAACAGGGTATGAAAGGAGTTCAGGGAATATCAGGACAGAAAGGTGTGAAAGGTCGGAGAGGACTTTCTGTAAGTGGAATAGTTTTCCTGCATGTGACTTTAATTTCACACTTTAACTTATTTTATTCCTTTTGAAGAGATTGTGTCTTAATCTTATATTCTGGCTCACTCTCACCATCTCACAAGGTAAAACCAAGTATTCCCGTCCAGCAGATACCAGGGCATCATACTCCACCTCATGCTCCAAGAAGAGGATCACAAAATGTTGGTACAAACTCAAGCAGTCAACCTTGGTTTGTTGAGAACTGAAACACACTTTTTATTGTCAAATATAGAGGGAAAAGTGAGGTTGGGTAGCAGAAAGACCTAAGATGAAGGTTTTATTATTGATCATTTGTCTTTGCACATTCTTTTCAGAAAGCAAGGTTATTATCCAGAAAGTCTCGATTTGATGACACTGAGGAAGAGATTGAGGAAAATAGCCACTCGCAAGGCACCAAAGACAACCCAGCAACCACCTGCAGAGAACTCTGTCTCATCCAGCCTCACCTCAGAGATGGTGAGCAGACTTCAGACCCAAAAATCTTGTTTTTAAAAAAAATTTAATCATAGAGTGGACATTTAATTTACTGTTGTCCTGTTTATAGGGCACTACTATGTTGATCCAAACCACGGATGTCCATTTGATGCTCTCCATGTGTTCTGTAATTTTACTGCTTGTGGTCTAACCTGTGTGTCTCCTGTCCGGTCTAAAGTAAGAGGATTTAAATATTTAACTATTTAAATAGGATGTAATTTCTTGTTCATTTACTAACGTGGTGGGTTTTTTGTTTCTATGGAAACAGTGCTGTGAATATAATTTTTATTAAGAATAGCAGGTATCTTAATGAATGTAATTTTCTGATTATTGCTCTCCACAGTTTGAGTACACAGATCTCGATGTTGTCCAACTGCGATTCCTACGGTTACACAGTACCTCTGCCACACAAAGCATCACCCTGACATGTTCTAAAAAACACAGCCCCACTGCTAAACACCAGGATACCACTAAGAGAATGTTACGCTTCCTATTTACTGTGAACTTTTGATTCTTTATTCATATGTTATTTGTTGCAGGGTGAAGCTGGTGCTCGTGGGCCTCCTGGTGGCAAAGTATTCCCTGGTTTACCTGTATGTCTCTTTGTAAACTCATTGACCAGCTTTATCTGCTTTAGAACAATGGCATAGATGACACCGTTTCTTGTTTTGCTCTACAGTGTCCAACTGGAAGGAAGGTGTGTACTGAAATTGCAGGTGTGGTTGTAATTTATATAGCTCTGCTTATCTTGTCCCTGTACCTGAACCAGGTAGGTACAGCATAGATACAGATCTTATTAGAGTCAAACTGACCTGCAGTGCCCCGGCATGCAGTATTTAAACGGCAATGTTCAGTAGGGTGACACTGAAACATTGAAAATATGGGATTTGAAATATTTGACCTCAAGTATATTGAGCTTAATAGAGTTAAATGTGCTTTCTTAAGTATTGTTTATATCAACAGGGTATGAAAGGAGTTCAGGGAATATCAGGACAGAAAGGTGTGAAAGGTCGGAGAGGACTTTCTGTAAGTGGAATAGTTTTCCTGCATGTGACTTTAATTTCACACTTTAACTTATTTTATTCCTTTTGAAGAGATTGTGTCTTAATCTTATATTCTGGCTCACTCTCACCATCTCACAAGGTAAAACCAAGTATTCCCGTCCAGCAGATACCAGGGCATCATACTCCACCTCATGCTCCAAGAAGAGGATCACAAAATGTTGGTACAAACTCAAGCAGTCAACCTTGGTTTGTTGAGAACTGAAACACACTTTTTATTGTCAAATATAGAGGGAAAAGTGAGGTTGGGTAGCAGAAAGACCTAAGATGAAGGTTTTATTATTGATCATTTGTCTTTGCACATTCTTTTCAGAAAGCAAGGTTATTATCCAGAAAGTCTCGATTTGATGACACTGAGGAAGAGATTGAGGAAAATAGCCACTCGCAAGGCACCAAAGACAACCCAGCAACCACCTGCAGAGAACTCTGTCTCATCCAGCCTCACCTCAGAGATGGTGAGCAGACTTCAGACCCAAAAATCTTGTTTTTAAAAAAAATTTTATCATAGAGTGGACATTTAATTTACTGTTGTCCTGTTTATAGGGCACTACTATGTTGATCCAAACCACGGATGTCCATTTGATGCTCTCCATGTGTTCTGTAATTTTACTGCTTGTGGTCTAACCTGTGTGTCTCCTGTCCGGTCTAAAGTAAGAGGATTTCAATATTTAACTATTTAAATAGGATGTAATTTCTTGTTCATTTACTAACGTGGTGGGTTTTTTGTTTCTATGGAAACAGTGCTGTGAATATAATTTTTATTAAGAATAGCAGGTATCTTAATGAATGTAATTTTCTGATTATTGCTCTCCACAGTTTGAGTACACAGATCTCGATGTTGTCCAACTGCGATTCCTACGGTTACACAGTACCTCTGCCACACAAAGCATCACCCTGACATGTTCTAAAAAACACAGCCCCACTGCTAAACACCAGGATACCACTAAGAGAATGTTACGCTTATGGGGAGACTCCAATGAAGAAATCCATCCATCCCATGTTCTCATATCACAACATGGTTGTGAGGTTCGAAGCAATCTGTAATTAGTGTAGGACACTTGACAACAGCTTTTCTAAATGAGAAGTTTGCAAAAAATGGCACATCCAAACCCTGTAACTAAAGTAAAACTATTCCATAACAGGAGGTCACCAGGTATTTTCCCTGCCTTATCTTTGCAAGTAACAGCACAGGTGAGGGTTCTTGGGAATTCTGAGCTCCACGGAGGAGACATACAACTCCTTCCCATAAGAGATGTTCTTTTGCAGGTTGGAGGAGAAACCTGGGAAGGAGATCCGAGCATCGTCCTTGGACATTTGTGCTTTTTATAGCATCTTTCCAAAAATAGATTCCATTCACAGAGCACCTGGGAGGAGTGCATTGTTCCCAGGACATACGCTACAATTAGACTTTGAATATTGTATAATTATGTAAGGTAGATTTATGATTAGTGAATTTGTTCTCCGGGTTTATATTATTCAGATTTCTGGTACACTGAATGTGGTGCAAAAACTGTGTGTGTATGAGAGCATGTACATTTATTTAGACTTGTTGTGATCATTTGTAATGATTTATGTAAGGTTGTAAGAATTTATGGAGGAAAAGTTCATATTTTAAACCTTTACACGGTGCCTTTTTTTATTAACGGATATAAAAATAATAAAACACTATTGGGCATTTGTACTTTATATATTGCTGAAATTCTCTGTACACAACCCTGGATAAATAATTGCTTTTTTTTTAACTGCATTTAAAACTAGGCATCATTTCGCATACATTAGTGAATTTGAATGTGTTTAATAAAGAACTTGGGGCATCAATGAGCAATAGTGACTAGACCAGGATCTAATAATATAATGTCTTCATTCTCCATAAGCTGTTAGTACAATGTACTTTGCCCTTTTACAGTTATACATCCTCACTTTACTTCCGTATCATATATGTAATGTTCACAAAGGTAACTTACAATATTTTATCATTTAACATAAAACACATAATTAAAAAAACTAAACCGAACTATAACCACATCATTTGACACATTTGTATTTGGGGTAAAATATGACCTGGACATATATTCTTGAAGGGTTTTGAGATTCATATATTTATTCCACACATTACATCTTTGAGAAGAGAGAGATAACCAGTCATTACATAAACCAGGCAACGCTGTAAGGTATTGATACTGTTACTGTACATTTAGCCGCTCGTCCAATCAGATGTCGTTTCGAAGCAGACTCCGCCCCCGGTAGAGAACGAGCGCCTGTTGTTTCAGTTGATTTCAACACAGGCCTGATGCTGTGAGGTGTGATTGATGCTGCTGATCTCGTTCAATCATACGGCGTCGCCAGCGTCAACGTTCACAGAGTTTGTCTTCAGAAAGCTGAACTGATTATTGCACACGTGTGTATTGAGGAAGAAGCACAAGTAAGTGAGCTAAACGTTGTTTTTTGGTCTTTCTTAAACGGAGCCTGTAAAACAGACACTATTTTGTCGAAAACATTTTCTGGTAAATTAATATCGTTTGTGTACAATAAGCGTATTGAGTTTTGTGCGTATATTTAGTGTCGTTTTAAGCTAGTTCTAAATACAGACGAATAGTTGAACCCCCTCAAAAATGACAGCCCAGCATCAACACAGTTAGCTAATTTAGTGTAATGTATTTGCATTTGTGTGATAAGCCATTTTAACGTTTATTCTATTAACTAACTAGGGTCTTTTTTATCTTAGTAGTATACTAATACTTATTTCCAAAAAGTAATTAAATATTGACTAGTATTCGTTAAGTTTATCACTTACAGTACTTTCCCCTTTGCTACTAGTAACTATCCTAATATTGACAAGTAGGGTATTCCTTTGAACATTTTTGTTTATTGATTTTTATGGAATCTGTGGTTCAGATTTCAACTGCTCACTTATTCTGACTAGCACTGTATGCAAGTTATTCTGATACCAGTTACAGTTTCACAAGGATAGATCATCTCAGATAATCTTGCTTATTTCTTAGTTACTAACTAATTAAAATCTTTTTTTCTTTGTCATATTCAATGACTGGCCAGAATGACTACTTTTAAAATTCAATGAAAATCTTATTAGTAAGTTTAAAATGATCTAATTGAGGCAATCAAGATAATATGAAATTGTGAATTGGTGAATGAAATTATTTACCTGTTGAAGAAGGATCACGTTTGTTCTTGGTGTTGGGTTTCCAGCAGCAGGATGGTGAATGAGGGTGCTGGTGCCCCACGCAGTCGCAGGGGGTCTCATAAGGTGGTTCCTTCATCAGACCAGGATGGCACAGGAGAGGTGTCCTGCCCCAGTAATGGTGAGACTGAATCACTAAACAAAAAAAGCCCTGATCCTCCAAGTGCAGAGTATTCAAATTAGGCAGATGCAAAACAGTCACTTTAAGATTCTAATGAAGAGAGTTTTTCTTTGCAGTGTAGGTCATTCAACTCCGACCCACTGGAATCAGTTGCAACATGTTTCACTTAGTGTCCTTACTATTTACGTTGCTTGTTCAACCTATCATTTGTATGGCTCTGTCATGTAAAAGAATACATACATTTGATATTATTCATTCATTTCAGATTTTTTTTTTCTTTTTGCCCAGTCTGTTTAGAGTTTTCAGTGGTAAAATAATATAATTGATTTTTATGTGGTAGAATACAGGTATATTATAAACTAAATGTTAATTTTCCTTAAAGTAAAAGGTTTTTAATTTGCAATAATAACCTTGCTTGTATTGAGGTCTTAATTGAGCTGTGTAATCATATATGCATTAAAGAAGAATGAGGAAACAATGGCCATGACACATTCATGTTACGTTAGTGAAACCATTAAGGTTAATTCTGGGATGAACAGACTGCCATGTGATTTGCAGTGTGACCTGATTGAGAAATTGCCATGTCCTGCCCAGTACGGTTATCAATGATGCAGACATTCCCATTAACTCTGACATGATGACACTTGTTTTATTGTGCAACCTCACGGTCAGATAGATCCAGGTTCATGCTTCACAGTGTAGCATTTGAGTTAGTGTGAGTGGTTTTTGAAATTAAATATCATATATGATGTTTCATTAACAAGGTTCGGGAGGAGCACGATTAGATAATCAATCAGTCTGGCCCAGGTGGAGCTCGTCAGTTAATCACCTTAACAAGCACAATACGTGTATATATACAGCCAACTTACCTTTGTTCCACGACAGTTTTCCAGCATCCTGCCTCCACCTCAACACCTCACTCTTAATCTAATTTCATCCCATTCTTGGGATGGGGGGACGGTTCTCTGGGTTCGGGCTCTATCCCGAGCTCGGAGCCCTCCCTCTGGACAGAACGCCAAATATGCTACTAATTGCTCAATCATATTATATGCTAGTGTGAACTCGTGAAATAATTTTAGGGTTTTCAGTGGGATATAATGTAGTGCTTTTTGTCAAAAGTCATCAAGTTCTACATTTATACCGTGTCTACACTGGATGCGGCGTGGCATGACAAATTCCCGACAGTAAACTGCTGCTGCGTTCTATTTATGACGTACTGACACAAATTTTCTGGGATGAACAGACTGCCATGTGATTTGCAGTGTGACCTGATTGAGAAGTTGCCATGTCCTGCCCAGTACGGTTATCAATGATGCAGACATTCCCATTAACTCTGACATGATGACACTTGTTTTATTGTGCAACCTCACGGTCAGATAGATCCAGGTTCATGCTTCACAGTGTAGCATTTGAGTTAGTGTGAGTGGTTTTTGAAATTAAATATCATATATGATGTTTCATTAACAAGGTTCGGGAGGAGCACGTTTAGATAATCAATCAGTCTGGCCCAGGTGGAGCTCGTCAGTTAATCACCTTAACAAGCACAATACGTATATATACAGCCAACTTACCTTTGTTCCACGACAGTTTTCCAGCATCCCGCCTCCACCTCAACACCTCACTCTTAATCTAATTTCATCCCATTCTTGGGATGGGGGGACGGTTCTCTGGGTTCGGGCTCTATCCCGAGCTCGGAGCCCTCCCTCTGGACAGAACGCCAAATATGCTACTAATTGCTCAATCATATTATATGTTAGTGTGAACTCGTGAAATAATTTTAGGGTTTTCAGTGGGATATAATGTAGTGCTTTTTGTCAAAAGTCATCAAGTTCTACATTTATACCGTGTCTACACTGGATGCGGCGTGGCATGACAAATTCCCGACAGTAAACTGCTGCTGCGTTCTATTTATGACGTACTGACACAAATTTCTAATGATTTTCAACGGTTGCTTTGTCGCGTCCAGTGTAGACAGACTTTAGCTGTTGCGACGCGGTGCGACACGACAACTGTCGCGTCCGGTGTAAACACGGTGTTACTATTAATTCATTGCCTCTTAGTATAATCTCCCATAGATTGAAATGAAGACATTGCATTCCTTTCTGTCTTTCTTTTTACTGCATTTTAAAACTTTGAATGAATTGTAAGTCTAGTTCATTCATTGGCTGTGACATATGTATCCATCTATCCTAACATAAACGCTCTCTTTCCTAAATGAAAGTGACTCTTTTTTTAGTCTTCAATAATATAGCGATGACATATTTGTATTTATACCGAATAGTAAATATTGTATCTTCTTTTGGTTTAAGGGTCATATGATGCGATTTAAATTTTTCCTTTCTCTTTGCAGTGTTACAAGCTCTTGGTGCATAAAGAAGATCTGTAAAGTTGCAAAGACTAAAGTTTCAAATCCAAAGAGATATTCTTTATAAAAGTTAAGAGTCAGCCACACCTACCTAAAACGGCTCATTCTAACACGCCCCCACATATGTAAGTCACGATGTGGGAAGATTTGCATAACGCCGCCCAAATGTTCACGCAAAGAAAGAAGGCATAACTTTTATTCTCGCTGTAGTATTGTTGCTGCCGCCATGTTGTTCCCACTGGATGCAACAAATGCCTAGTTTATAATGGGTTTTAATGTTTTTGTCTCGTCGCTCCGGCCGGGACAAGGCATCACAATATGGTAAGGTGCGTTACATTTCCGTCACACACTTGAGGTATTCGGCCAATCACAACGCACTAGATAGCTGGCCAATCAGAGCACACCTCGCTTTTCAGGACGATGAGCTTTGTAAAAATCGATGTGTTTCAGAAAGGCAAGGCATAGAGGAGAA